CTAGCCTATATAAAATATATTTTAATGCTGAGGTTTACACTTTTCAAATTATTTTTGCAAATATTTAACCAGTTTTTTTATATACATATTTTTTTAAGAGCTGGAAATTGAACCCTAATTACTGATTATATAAATAGGTTCCCAACCGATGGTTCGCGGACCACCTGAAGATAGTTAAAAATGGTTTGTGAATGAAATTTAACAGGTATAGATACATAGCTTATAGTTTGTCTACTGAGATCTCACTTATTAGAAAATAAGCACAAACAATTTTCAAGTAACAATATATATAGGCCTATTTATAGCTTATATGTATAATGTACCCTTGCTTTTATATAAATCATTATACCAGAGATGCATAAAGTATATTAATATAATCATACAGTTTATTAATCTTAAATTTTGTGGTCCTTGGTCAAAAAAAAGTGGGGAACCACTGATATAAAGCATTAACTAACATACATTACACAAAGAAGCGAATTGCAAGAAATAAGGACTGCAGCACGCTACAATTATATAGTGCATTTATGCGTCTGTTGTTGGGACATCTATTTTTTTTTTTTGTTTACATATCAAAACTTTTTCTTAAACTTTTTCTGCTTTCAAACTGTTATCATGTTTGCTGTCAGACGTAACAGTCCAGCAATAGTTGTTGACAGACCAACAAGTCTAATAGTCCAATATAATGGACTTCTGCATGTAAGTCCATTAAGTAATATAATGGACTAATATTATAGTTATATATATAAAACTAATATATATAAAATATATATAAGTAATGCATACAAAACATTGAGTAATATATACAAAAATAGAATATCTACTAGGTATTATTGGAACTTTGTGCTGTTAAATAACGATGGACTTCTGCATGTAAGTCCATTAAGTAATATAATGTACTAATATTATAGTTATATATATAAAACTAATATATATAAAATATATATAAGTAATGCATACAAAACATTGAGTACTATATACAAAAATAGAATATCTACTAGGTATTATTGGAACTTTATGCTGTTAAATAACGATAAGTCGTTTAATATTTACAAAATAGCACAAAATTACGATCAAAATGATGGGTCGGTACATTTCAAGACACATTTAATAATTTAAATAGCACTAGTTTACTAAACTATTGTAGTTTTATATAAGATTAAGTTGAGATTATACATGAAGCAACTAAAATAGTAAGGTGTAATACCAGATTATTTGATGATACCTGTGCTTTTATGGACACCCAACACTCATACGTGTAAAGACAGCGTATAGTTAGAGTATATCGTTATACAATTCGCCCTCAATAAAACAAGTGAAAGTTTATTTCGCTTATAAAGTTAATGAATTGACCAGACTCAGCAAAATTGGTCAATAATAAAGAAATATGAATCTCCATATATTCCTTAAAATGCTTATTAAACATAAAAACACTAGAAAAGAGGAACCTGGCAGTTGGCATAAATCTAACATATACTAAGGTAAACTAGGGTCTAGATATGGTACACAAAATCAGAACTCTCCTAGTTCAGAGAAAATGAGCAAGGATAAGTGTCAATCTCCATATGACTGTTATTAGAGCTCCTACAGAAGTTAACTTGATGGAGGACAGAAAAAATAATTATTGTGTTACTTTTTGTATATCATTAGATAAAAATTTAACTCCTTGGACAACTTTTACTTTGAGAATTGGCAGAGCTGGAAACAGTGAACTTAATAAACAAGAGTAGACTTGTTAAACCCCACACATCTTCATTATATGGTATATACTTTAGTTATAGTCTGTGTTTTTTTAAATTGATTTTAAAACATTAAGTATAAAATATTTTACAGCAGTTAATAATAAAAGAAATTAATTTATTAAAATTATAATTAATTATAATAATTTATTGTATTTTATAATTTTGCATTTCCATTTAAATTTTGCATTTTCAAAGTTAAATTAGCAAATAATTTAGAGAGCAAATAGTTTCTTTTTTAAAATTAAAACATTTCTAAAAGATAAAAGAAAAGTCGAAATCTTATCTATTTTATATTGTACAATATAGCATACATGGCTATAAACTTCCAGCTATCACTTGTGTGTATAAAAAATTAACAATCTTTAAAGTGCTACATAAACAAAGTGTACATATTATATATTAAAAGATATAGAAGCACATTTATAAACTAAAAATAAAGAAAAAAGAGTGACACTTTATTTAAGACAAGTGTTCTAACACATAATACAAACTGAAACACGAGCGGATTTATTAAGTAAACGCCATATTCAAATATATTGTATTGATTATACAAAATAAACTAACTAATACCAATACTAAAATATAATTTTCAGTTGTATATTCCAAAACCCAACGTATCCGGCAACCGATACTAGCTTTGGGAAGTACATCTGAACGCTTCTGGTGTACATCTCAAAGTCGCATTCATGACCTATAGCAGAAAAAATAATTGCATAACATAAGAATCAGACCCACGTTAACTTCAATTAAAATCCCACATTGAATTGAAATCGTTAGGTTTTTTGCTTTACCCATGCCAGTTTCAATCAAAACCAACTAAACCTTAATCCACTCTTGTTCTTAAAAGATTCCCTCACCTTTCGGTCTTTGATAGAAGTCGGTCCGCCTGATAGAATTGGCTAGCTTTTTGCGTTTTGATTCTGTTGGAAAATTGTACTTTAATTCAGGTACTTCCGATCTACCAATTCATGTTTACTCTTAAATCATCTGCTCCCTTCTCACGCCACCAAAATTTATCCATATCATAACCCACGTATTTGTCTTTTAATTCTTTTTATGTTATCAATTTTCTAGATTCTTGCGAGCTACGACAACAGATGGCGCCTCTCGTTGGTGTTTGTAAAAAGTTGCAACTTTAAATTCGGATATTCCGATTACGAGGCTATATGGACATATGCCATAGCAGGAGAAGTTTTAAATAATGATAAAATTAAAAAAAAATTGTGTAATAGGAAAAATATATAGCAAAATTATTTGCGTGAAGGGCATAGAAACCTCGACAAAGTCAAAGTTTACTTATTTATTTTTTTAAAAGAAGGATGATTTAATCCATTTTATTATTTTTTTAAAAGAAATACAGGGGAGATAATTTAATCCATTTCATTCGTTTTTTAAAAGAATTATATATATACGCAGGATGATTTAATTCATTTTATTATTTAATTAAAAGAAATATAGGGGAGGAGGATATAGAAATCTCGACAGAGTCAAAGTTAATCTTTCATTATTTTTTTTTTTAAATAAATATACGCAGGTTGATTTAATCCATTTCATAATTTTTTTAAAAGAAATATACGCAAGATGATTTAATCCATTTTATTATTTTTTTATAGAAATATACGGAAGAATGATATAGAAGGACATAGAAATCTCGACAAAGTCAAAGTTAACTTTTCAATATTTTTTTAAAAGAAATGTACACAAGATTATTTAATCCATTTCATTCGTTTTTTAAAAGAATTATACGCAGGATGATTCAATCCATTTTATTATTTAATTAAAAGAAATATAGAGGAAGAAGGATATAGAAATCTCGTCAAAGTCAAAATCAACTTATCATTATTTTTTTTTTAAAGAAATATACGCGAAATGATTTAATCCATTTCATTATTTTTTTAAAAGAAATACAGGGGAGATGAAATAATCCATTTCATTATTTTAATTTTTTTTTTGAAGAAATTTATGCGAAATCATTTAATCTAATATTGTGTAATATTACATAATATTAAGATAAATTTTTTATTATATATTATTTTGCATATTATAAGAAATATTTCCATAGCTTCCAAAATAAACCTAGCAATTTTCTCACAGCGATGATGTGGGTAATTTAAATAAAATTTAGATAAAAGCTGTATTATTATTGCTCAATAATCATTATTATATATTATATTGTCGTCTAGTAGAATGTGAAGTAAAAATAAACAATAAATATATTATTAAGAAAACAAATATCTCAATAAGACTGCAACATTTTGTTTGTGTTTTCTAGTATAAACAACTAGACCAAGCAGATTTATTTTAAAATAATAGGGCATATATCTGAAAAATTTAAACATTTAAATTTAGAATCAGACTCATTCAGAATTTAAATTATTTATGTTTTTATTTTAATTTTTTTGTTTTTTGTACTCACAAACAAAAATCTTATTTACTGTCGTTCCAAAAATCAGCTGCGAATATTAATAAAAAATTAAAAATTAATTAGAAATATTTCAAGGCTAAAATTAAATTGCACTTGCAATTGATTTATGGAAGAACTGTAAACCGATTTCGTTCAATAATTAACACATCTGTTTTTTCTAATCATTATCAAGTATTTGCAAAAAAAAAATAAACAAAAAAAAAAATTAATTAAAAAAATATAAAGAAACGCAAAACAGCTTTAAATGTAATATGAGAAGTAAAGATTGCAGCTTACTGCACTTGGAATGACACAACTCAAGATTGATAATATCCGGTGTGGGGATATAAAAGCAACAATAACAATAACAACAACCAGAACTATTACTTGACTGTGCATCACGTTGCCATTTAACGGTTGGTCTTCCTAATTTCACTTGCATGCGTTGGGCAAACGGTAGTAAAACTAAAAAGGGTAAAATTCATTGAAAGCATAGTATGGAATGATTGCCTACTACATGACCTTGTAATGACATCGTCAGCATAGAAAAAATAACTAAACAACAACAAAATGTTAAAACAATGTACTAACGTCAACCTCAACGTCAACGTCAACGTGGAACTTTTTTTGGATTTTATAAATATGCATGTGTGTATTTATTTTTGCAAGTACACAACAAGATGTTGTACTGCTTGTGTTAGGCACCAAACTATAGACATTATTATGTATATATAACATTTTATTTTAAATATAAGCAAATAAATAAATTATTAATATAATTGTATTGAATTTGTCAAGACTGCTGTTTTATTCATGTATTTTGTTTTAATTTTATTTATTATTTTAAAACTTACTTGGCACGTCTTGTGCTCAAGCTCACTGCTGATCCGAGCATTCCCTTATTGGCTGGTAGTAAAGTTTTCACAGACATATTAATCCTTTTTTATTATTTAATATATTACTAAGAATTTCGTTATGATATATTTAAAAAATTGTGCAAAAATGCAATATTAACAAAAACAAAAAAAATGCTTTTTTAAACTTAACAACAACCCACGGATAAAGCGTAACAACCCAATGCCGCCGAAAAACTCACCAAAACTGCAAACACACTCATTTATTAAGCTTGCCGCTAGCACGGCATTATAAAGCAGCACCTGCTGCCCCTCACCACACCAGTCCAGTCATAATCCAACATTTATCAGCTGTGGGGGTATTAAGAACAAAAAACGTGAACTTGATGAGAAAAAATGTTGCCATTCTAGCTGAAAAGTATGAAAAGTAGCATATATATATAAAGTACTCAATGAAGTAGATGTGACGGTAAATGCGGACAAGAATTTTGTTATTAAAGCAATAAGGATATTTAGACTGAACTCTGTATTTAAATACTAAATAGGGTAGATGTGATGGTAAATGCGTGGAAGAGTTCTGTTATTAATCCATTAAGTAACAGCCAAGTTCGAACTTGGAATTTTATGGTGAAATTTCTATAGCAAATAGTAAAATAACACAAGTTCAAGTAAATGAGAAAAGTTTGATATTTATTTGAAAGATTACTTTCACTTTATCTTTACCTAACGACTAAAATTTATATTGCATTATTTTATGAATATAGTACTATAGACCCCAATGTGTGTTTAACCACACGGCTTTTTTCGCCGGCGTCTGGGGACAAGTAAAATCAGTTTTTATTTCTAATTATTTTAATTTTTATTTGATTGAAAATGGTTTTTTTTTTGAACACTTTCTGTGTCTGACAAGGTAAACTCTTGGACAGACGAAAACTGGTAGAAATATGTATTTTTATATTATTAAGGTATCAAACTTAATAGTAAATATAAAAAACATTCAAATAATTACTTTTATAAACTTTTAAAAAATATTCAAAGCTAGTCGTTTAGTGCATCACACGGTGGTCCGAAATTGGTTAAACCAAAAAGGATATTTAAACTAAAATCTGTATCGCGATTGGTTTATTCTTGATATGTTCAAGTTCGTAAGGTATAATTTTCTTGTGAGTACTTATAATTATTAAAGTGATCAAAAAAAAAAAAAATACATATATAAAAAAAATATTAATAGTATTCATACATGCTCGGTAACTTGGTAAAGTGATAAAATTTTATGTTTATTTATTTTTGTATATTTACAAGATTGTTAAGTAACGAATTATCCAGGCATAAAGTCTAATAATTTTCTGGAAATATGTTAGAATATCACCTAATAGTTATTATTGTGTAGTGCTATTATTGATACAGGCATTGAGACGTGCTCGGTAACGTAATAAAGTGATAAAATTTTATGTTTAATTATTTTTGTAAGATTACAAGATTGTCTAGTTAATGAATTATCAAGACATAAAGCCTTATAATTTTTTGAAAATATGTTAAATAATCACCTGATACTTATTATTGTGAAGCGCTATTATTATAAAGGGTATTCAGAGCGCCCGATAACTAGGTAAAGTGATTAGAACAGTTTCAAAAGTCTAAATTATAATTTAAGTATTTAGTTATCATTCTGTGAACTTGATAAATTTATCATGTATTGATAATTAATCAAGATTTTTAGCAAGCAAAAAACTTTTTGCTGATCTATGCCAATATTAAAAAATTTCATAACTTTTAACCATATTGTACTGTACAATATAATGTATACAAAAACCAAAAGTAATAAATAAAAATGTCATCACGCACTCTTAATTAAGTGATTCAATAAATCCTAAATTCCAAGAATTTCAAAATATTTTTGAAGGTCATGAAAGAATTGGATCGTTTTTTATAAAATGTTATAAAACTTATGACAACAAATTGTTATGGACTTTTTTCATATAATTTAAATTTCACGGGACAATTAAACCTAACAATCGGGAAGGTTTTGTACTCAGAAACAGGTAGCAAAGATATACGTATCTAATATACATATATCAATATACGATTAGCTATGCCAAGTTAGCTCATAAGTACAGATATATGAAAAGCAAAACGTAAAGCGGCACAAAGAATAAATTATTTCCATGCAAACTGAACTGCTTAAAAGGTTTAAGGAAACATTTTGGGTTGTAACAATTCTAAAAAAATACCTTTATTACAAAATACCGTTCAAGGTATATAGTGAGATATGTTATTATATTTATTTATTATATATATATTATTATAAATACCAGCTTAAGCAACCACAACATAATATAATCTGTCTATATATATATACATATATTTACAAAATATTATTGAAATCGCCAATGAAAGCTTTTAAATAAGTTTTCTCACCTGTAAGAATCTATGAAAAAGATTTTTTTTAAACTGTACGCCATAAATATTAACGTAAACTCTTTAGTAGCATCCAAAACGTAGAGTTAAGGAATTATATTATATATTAAAACAATTAATGTATGAAAATTAATTTAAACAAAACAAACCGTGTAGTTTTTTGCTAAAATATTTGCTTGAAAATTTGCGCGGCTATGTTTTTAAGAGTAGTAGTCATTGTGACATTCTTCACTTATTCTTCTCTTTTCTGCTGACATTTGCAAATGGGCTTCAATACTGCAAAGTTGCATTTGAACTAATAAATTCGAGGTTATCATTCGATTTATTAATTTTAGAGAAAACTTAAATTTCATTTATATTTGTTTGGGCTTTATTTTAGGTCTGTTCCACGAGCTGCTCATAGTAACTTTGAGTAAACACTGTGTATACACAAGCGCGTTTCACCAGCAAATTTTCAAGTATTTTTGTGTAAATTTTACTTCTGTTTTACTCATGTTTTACTATGAGTAGCTCGTGGAACAGACTTTTTATGTAAGTTATTTAAGTTTAGTATAAACTGGTTAATCCAACTTCATTAGAGAATATATAGAAAATAGTTGGAAAATAATCTTAACTAAAAATCATATTATTAAAAAGAGAGCAAAAGATGAATAGAGCAACGCAAAGAACTAACGTACTTTGTTCCCTCATTTATATGGTGATTATGAATCATTATGATGATTATAATGTAGTTGCAACAATAGCTGTATTGTGTTTACTACAGTCCAAATCATAATGAATGTGATTTATTTTACTATTACAAATCAATTCTGTATATTTTTAAAGTGTTATAAATTCTATTTTATATATATTATATATTAGCGTTGATTGGATTCAATCTTTAAGTTTTGTAAAAAATACTATTAGAGATCATGAACTTTAATATAATTTCCTGTCTGTCCACTTAAATGGCTGGCCTTGATTATCATACTTACCTTATCGCTTAAACGTTTTTTACACAGTAAATATATATCATTGGTTAATTCATATAGGTTTATTTTAATATGTGCTATACATTCTATCATATAACATTTAAGACTAATTGTACTTATTTGCCAACTTTAATTAAATATTTCTTTTAATAACAATATTATAATAAAATTGTGTTTAATAATGATACATTTTTTGCAGGCGAACGCAAAACAAAGTATAAATAGGTGATAATTAGTTTCAATAAAACTGTTTTTAATTAAAACTAATGCATTAATGACACTGATATGTTCCTTTATAAAACTGAAGTATACAAATCACTTTGAAATAATTAAATGATGATATGAAGTATAATATATTTCTTTAATTAAATTATTTAATTTCACACTTCTAAAATTACATCGATGAATAAATAAATGAATATAGCAAAACAGCTGATTGTAACTTAAGTATGTCAGTATAATTGTCTTCATTGATTTTAATGTGAAATTTTAGTATAATAATATTCAAGTTTAATTGAATTTTAGTTTAAATTTAATTTTTTATATCAAGAAACACACCCCTGAAATTACGCATGTAGCAAGAATGTATGTTTGCTTATTTTATCGAATAACTTTATTAAATATGACTAGGTGGAAATACAAATACAGTACCACCATCACAAATGGATTAGTTTGTCATTATTTATGTTAAAATACATCTCATTTATTGTAACAAATAAAATTTTATATAAAGTCTTCAAATAAAGTCTGTAAGTCTGTAATTATTTATCGAAACATACTAATATGACAGTCACGGCTGTTAGTTTTAGTATAAATAATTATATAATAAAAGGAAAATCGAAATAAATTTCAAACGAAAACAATCTCAGAAAGATATTATTAAAAAAATTTAAATGAAAAAAAGGACAAATATTTTGTTTATTAAAATCGGATTTTAAGTAATAAGAAAACAAAATGGCGCATTCAAATGGCATTATATAGCCAATTTCAAACACAAAAATGAAATTCAAATTGGTTTTCGTATTTTCTTGTATTTCATGTATATGTTTAACTTTTAAAGTAAAAGTGTAGAGACTTATAGGAAGAAATTGCTGATTCATGTAAATTTAGATAAAGTGCAATTGTATTATTAGGAGTAATGTAAATGCAATGTAAATCCAATTTTTGCTTTTATATAAACATAGTAATATATAAAAATGTGAAAGTTTTAATTGTATAATTTTTTTGAATTGTGATAATTACATATTGTGAAAAAAACAGTAAAAAAAATTCTACTTAAACATGATTTGCATCAATTGTTTACGATAATCAGAATTTCTGTTCGTTTTAAAAGAGCGCTATTTTTTCGGTCTGGCAGCACTTTTTGACAGTTTAATTTTTATTGTGTTTCGTGCATATGTCTGGTGTATCTAATTATTGTCAGGTAGAGCAATATATATTTTTATTTCAGTTGTTTATTAGGAAAGTTAGTTTGTGTTTAAACTCGAACGATATCACTTCAAATTGTGTAGTACTTATATGCAAGTTGCTGAATTTTAAATAAAAGATTAAAGTTTTTCAAAGAATCAAATTGTTAAAATTAATAATTGTAATTTACAGTGTAAATTTCATTGTTGCAGAATAAAATACTTCCAAAATGGGTGGCGGAGATCTCGTAAGTTATATATGTTATAAAAATTTATTGAATAAGTGTAATATTTTATATAAATAGAACCTGAAAAAATCTTGGCACCCGAACACAATAAAAAATCAGGAAAGGGTTTGGAAAGCGGAACAAGCACAAAGTCAGGAGGATAAAAGATTAAAGGAGCTTCGTAAAGAAATTGAGGAGGAAAAATACCGCGAACGGCTTGTCAAAGTTGGTGAAACATCTGGTGTATTAAGTAATGACAATAACGGCAAAATGGATTGGATGTATAGAAGTAATTATATCATTTACATTGTTTCTAACAGTTTCAAGAGCTTATTAAACTTTAAACTAATTTGTATTATTTTTAGATAACTCGAACCTGATTAATCGTGAGGAATATTTGCTTGGTCGTCGTGTTGATAAAACATTTGAAACCTTGCAAGCTGAAGAGAAGGAAAGTACAGAAGTATTTGTGCCAGGTATGAAAAGGGCGGCAAATCATGTAGAACATGAGTGCATACCAACATCTATAAGAGTTTATCGCGATAATATGACAACTGAACAAGTAGATTTGCAGCGAAAAATTTTGGAAGATCCTTTAATGGCTATAAAACGAAAAGAAATGGAATCCAGAAAGAAATTATTGGAAAATCCTGTTAAACTTAAGGAATTACATCGATTGCTTAAAAATGACCAAAAAACAAAAGAAAAACACAGGAAAAAATCGAAGAAATCTAGAAATAAAGGCAGCGATGACGATTCAGCTTCTGAGGAAGGCAAAAATTTAGATAAGGAGTTGGAGAAGCGTTTCAAAAAATTCAAACACAACATGAGCGATTTAAATAAAGATATAACAAAGCTCCTTGGAGCCAAATATGAATTTATTACAAAGGAATTGGACAAATCTACTGGTGTTAAGAAAAGGAGTGGCAAGTCAAGCAAGAGAAGTCGTAGTCGCAGCAGATCTAGAGGGACGGAGATTGAATATACTCGCCATAGACGTAGTCCAAGTAACTCTAAAAGACAAAATAAAAACAGATTTAGGACTAATTCTGTCAGTAGCAGTTCCAGTGTTGAACGGAATGAACGAAAACATAAACATTCTATCAAATCACCAAAATATCACAATACAGCTAATAAAGTGAGAGACTATAAAAAATCTAAAGAGAAGCGAAGGAGTGCAAGTAGCAGTAATGATGAATATGAATTTAAGCAAAACAAAATGACACGCGGATCAGTTTCGAAAGAAAAAATACGTGAAAAAGGTAGGACTACTAATAAGAAGCGTTTAAGTAGAAGTCGTTCAAGGAGTCGTACTTGTGAAGGTGAATACAGATATAGCAAAGATACAGCACGTGGTGCATTTTCTAAAATGAAATACTCAAATAAAGATCTCTCGAATCGTTGGAGTAGTGAAGAATCCGAGCTTAAACCTAGCAAAATACGTTATCAAGAAGACCATGCCACCAGAGGTCGCTCAAAAAGCTGGGGTAGTGAAGAAATTGTTTTTAATTCAAATAAACAAATTCAACGGTTATCACCAATAGTAGAGAAACGTAGAGATAATAAAATCACTACAGAACAATCCAGTAGCAAACGTTCAAATAGTAGAGATAGAAGAAGCTATGCTGATAGTAGACAAAAATATGATAGAAAAGAACGTTCAAAGTCACCAAAAAGCTCGAAGTACGGAGCAAAGGTGTCAACAGCAAATAAATTTAGGCGTTCTACCAGAAGTCGATCAAGAAGTAATGCAGGTCGAAGAAATCGTAGCCCTAGTAATGATAGACGTTACATTAAGCCTTCAAGGTCTTCTATGGAACGAAAACGTGAATACGATGAAGGTACAAGTCATAAATCAAAGCATTTAAGCAGAAGTGGATCTAGAAGCAAAACTTATAAGAAGGCGGACTATCATTCAAAATCTCCAGCTAGGCATGAAAGTTATAGCAATTCGAGTCGCAGACGTTCACGTTCAACCACACCACGCAGGCAGCATTCTTCGTATGAGCAACCACGAAAGGAGTATAAAACAAAAACCGGTAATAGTTCTTTGAACGCTGAAGAGAAGGAAGCTCGTTTACGTGAAATGATGGCAAATGCTTCTTGGCGTGAGGAAACTCGAACCCGTGCCGTACAAAAGCATCGTGAAGCATATGCGCGCGAGGAAGAAAATCATAGATCAAGCACTTTTGACAAAGAGTTTGTTGATAAAGAGATGAAAAAAGCTATAAGCAACCAATCATCCATAACATCGCGGATACAATCTAATCTAAACAACATACAACGTTCATCGCTTGCCATGAACTCAAATTTCGCAAGAAAGTAATGTATTTACAAGATGTGTAGTATTATAATTTGGTTCATTTCTATTTACCGGTTTTCGAAGTGAACAGTTATTTTAACAATGTCACTTCTAAAACCGTTTCCTGATTATTGAATTAAACTAATAGTTATTTAATTTTTAGCCAATTTAAGAATATCACAAGAGTAGATCCGCAAGAGTCTGTTTTTTTGTGGAACTACTGAATCGTAAATAAGTCTAGAAGATAATTTCAGGTCATGTAGTGCTCCTGCATTAAATTCACTACAAACTCAAATCGTAAGGATATAATCAGGTCTATAAATGTAGGTTTATAAACATACAAAAAGATGATAAACTTTGAAATAAATAGGTAAAGGGTGTTTCGGTTTTAGTGTGTGTTAAATCGTTCCTTGGTTTGAAAAACAAAAACAATCGTGTGTTGATGTCAGGGTATCTAAAAAGGCTATCTGATAAACATCTCGAAAAACTTTCACTCAAAAAACCTGTACTCAAAAAATTTTCACTTAGAAAATGATTGTCTTGAAAATGGTTTATCGAATAAAGAATTAAATCATTTATTAACTTTTAGTTAATTAAATATACTTTAATTTGATGTCTAATATATTTTTGTTTTTAAACAAGTATGAAATTATCATGACTCAAAATTAATTTTTATTTGGAAAATTTTCGATCATATTTATAGATAACCCTTGGCGTTCTCGAAATTTTTGTAAAATTTGTTATGTTTATTTTCATATCAATACCTTATTTTTTTATTCGAAGTTCGAACAGAGTTTTTCTATAAGTATATTTATCAGATTGAATAGCTTTGTGTAATGATCTAAATGCAATTCAACATATGTATATTTTATATTGTTTAGTTTATATTGCAGCTACGGGTTATGTTATGCAGACTGTCACGGTCACGTCAAACGTGAAATCGTTGTTGATTTTAATATAAATTTAAAAATTGAGACTAAGAGAAAGGGAAATTTCGTTTTAAATTTGTTCACGGTGATGAGGCTTTCTGTGCCTCGTCACTTTGGTCAATATAATCAGTTGATATTACTTAGTAATAAATATTAGAAGTTGCTCCTTTTGTTAAGTCAGTAAGACTAATTAATAGCCTAAACACTGAATTTATTTCTTTATAATAACTTGGATCAAGGAACTAGTTTCGGGATTATTCCATTCAAGGAAATATTCATATATACGAATATATTATATTTTATATATATATGTTATATTATATATTATATATATATGTTATATTATATTTTATATATATATGTTATATTATATTTTATATATATATGTTATATTATATTTTATATATATATGTTATGTTATATATTATATGTATATGTTATATTATATATATATGTTATATTATATTTTATAAATCGAATCAATTCGATTGAAATACTACAAAAATAACTATGAAAAAAAATTTTATTTTGAAGTTATATTGAATTTTGATTAGATTTGGTCTTCAAAATATAATGGGAGACCAAATATAATGAATATAATGACAGTTTGAAGTTAATAGTGTCTTCTCAAGCCTGCGAGGACTTCTTCAAGGTTCTTAGAATCACAGTTCTGTAGTGCACATATGTATAACAAGTAGAGTGCAAACAGAGAAGATTTTGTATTTAAAGAGAATACCGCTGAAGGAATTGTCACTGAACCTTCATGAGTTAATAAATCGACTATAAATTTGATTCAAATGTAAATGTTCATCATTGAATTTCTGTAGATATATAATTGTACTTAGCATATCAGAACATGCAAGATATTTTAAATATATAAAATACATAATTGGTTTGTGTGCCATGAAAAATGAACTTAAAGCATAGCATTATATATAATGCTTTTATGAATCCATTTTATTCCTAATCCTCCATTAAATATGTATAAAAATATTATATGTGTTTTAAAATTGCATTGTGTTAAAAAAAGAAAAATATTTTGAATGTATTATTATATAAAAATATATAAAAATGTTATAATAAATATTATATATATCTATATATATAAAAAACGGAGAAGTTTTTTTTAATGTATAAGTGAAAAATTGTAAATAATTTTTGGGTGTTGGTAAAAACATAGAATGGGACGTCTTTGTTGTTTATTATTATTACATCTCATTTAAATTATAGAAGCTATAGCTACATGATCTTAAGCTTACCAATTCGTACAAGAAAGGGAAATATTTTTGTTAGGAGCTAGTAGGGGGTCTTTGTAGTTTTTTTTCGGCATAATTCGGAGTTAAGCTTTACAATTTTTGCAGTCTTATTTCAAATTCTTTAAATACAATATTTCATCAAATTCTTTAATATATTCATTTGCGAATAATTATTCATTATCATCTTGTCTTCATTTGATAAGAGTTTTTGACCAGCGAGCGTGATTACGAACGTCTTAAAATTATACAATTAAGAATATAAATAAGTTTAGAATTTTGAGATGAAATTATCAGTAATTAATAGAGAAAGACAAAGGTTACTGTAACCACGTCTTTAGAACGACAAATAAAGGGTTAGAAAATGAGTAGACTCGAATGAGTTATTTGACTACTGCGAAGTAAATCAATGAAAAATTGAGCTGTGCATATCGGGTAGAAGATTATGACGTTCGATACTTATAAATTAATAAAAATTAAATAATAACAAAAATAATAAAAAATTTTAAATGTTAGTCATCGTGCTTTTAGCAAATGAAACTCTAGACCTCATGAGAAAAGAATATGCAAAAAAAAGAGATCAGATCAGACCAGATCAGTTGATTGAGATAAATTAGTTTAGTTCGCAGGTTCAGTCAATTCTATCAATGGGAGAAGTCTTAGCTTTAAAGTAAAAGAGTGGCTCTCAAATTGTAATTAAGAGTTGTCAAATTACTCCTAAATGGTTCAACGTATCGACAAGACTAATATAACAAATTTCAATTTAAACGGTAATAGTTAAGGATGTATATAACCACTAAGCTATCATGATTGTTCATTTTCAAAAATTAAATTTAAGTTACAGTATTAATAAAGTTACAAAGCAGTAATAACTACGCCTTCGATTATTATTTAATTCTTGATTTTATAAAATTATAAGTAAAATTAATATAAGTGGGTTTATAGAGTTTAAATGCGACCAAGTTTTTAACCAAAAATCCTTAAAGACAGACAATTGAATTTATTGTTAAACGATATTTCAAAAAGCGAAAGTTTCCATAGCAATTTCCTTAATATATTAAACTCTTGGGAATTCCATTTTTAAACACTTTTTAATTTAGAATAAATTATTTTACGGAATTTTATTATTTTCCATTTACTATTAACAACTAAATTTTTAGAGAGTGTAACCACAACAATTACAACAAATGACAGTTTATAAAGCGTATATCTACTACACGTTGAATATTCTATGGATGTTGACAAAATTCTAACAATGTAATAATTAATCTCAAATAATTATAAATATAGTAAATAATTAACAACATTCATTATAACGTAGATTTATGATAACATCAGCGATGTGCGTTAAATTAAGCGTTGCTTAAGGCAGCTACACCAGGTAGTGTCTTACCCTCCAGCAATTCGAGTGATGCACCACCACCAGTAGAAACGTGTGATACTAAAGATTCAGTGTTCCATTTGGCGCAGCATGAAGCAGTGTCGCCACCACCAATAATTGTAACAGCACCGGATTTAGTTGCTGTTACAACTGCATCCATAACTGCTTTTGTGCCATTGGCAAAGTTAGCAAATTCGAATACGCCTGGTGGTCTGCAATAAAAATAATTGTTTAGTATATTTAGAGAGCAATTGTTTTACTTATTAAGTACAAAGGTTGTAATTACTTACCCATTCCAGACAATAACTTTTGCACGGCATATGGGTGCAGCAAACAATTCTCTTGTTTTTGGGCCAACATCCAAACCCATGTGTCCATCAGGTATACCACTTTCCACAGTAGCCTCACTTACGGCAGCGTTTTCGGCGAATTTATCGCCACAGATAAAATCAACTGGTAAATGCAGTTGTACATTATTCTTCTTAGCTTTTTCAACTAAATTTTGTACAATTTTGGAGCCCTCTTCATCAAACAAAGAAGAACCGATTTTCATGTTGTTTAAAACTTTCAGGAAAGTAAAGGCCATGCCGCCACCAATTATCATTTCGTTAACTTTATCTAAAAGATTTTCAATCAATTGAATTTTGTCGGCGACCTTTGCACCACCTAATATAGCCAAAAATGGACATGGTGGATTATCCAGAGCTTTTGAGAAATACTTAAGCTCCTTATTGAGTAATAATCCGGCAGCGCGTTTCTCAAAGCCTTCACCCATCATTGAGCTATGTGCACGATGCGCTGTACCAAATGCATCATTTACATATACATCACCTAATTTTGCAAGACTTTCACGGAATGCTTTTACTTTGCTTGGATCAGCTTTAACTTTTGCGCCGCTAGGATCGACACCTTTGCCTTCCTCTTCAGTATAGAAGCGCAAGTTTTCTAGTAATATAACTGAACCAGTTGGTGGGTCCTTACATTTGCTTTCAACATCGGAACCAACGCAGTCGTTCAAAAAGGTGACATCCTTACCAAGCAAAGTTTTTAATTCTTCAGCAACTGGCGCTAAAGTGTATTTTGGATTTTTGTTGCCATCTGGACGACCCAAATGCGACATTAGCACCTACATGCACACATGTAATTATATTATATATACAGAAAAGGTACACAGTTACTATTATGTATTCTTATAATTACCACAGATTTGGCATTTTTCTCCAAAGCATATTTTACGCTATCCAAAGCTGCGACAATACGTTGATTACTGGTTATTTTACCATCCTTGATGGGCACATTAAAGTCAACGCTGTAAATACATTCTTTTATTTATGTAATGAAATCGAGAGAGTTATTTACACTTACCGCATTAATACGCGCTTTCCGTTTAAATCCAAATTTTCAATGCTTAATTTGTTGAATGCCATTATGGAATTACTGCAGCTCTTTTCTGTTCTTTTTACAACAAGCCCAGGCAAACTCTTCGAACTCTGGAATCTTATTGATGCAAGTGACAACTTCACATTCAGTGTGCCCAACTGAAACAAACGTTTGAATGTCATTGAAGGTCAAATAGCGTAAAAGACAGAGCGGTTCGCGAAATTCTATAATCAATGAATATCAAATTCAGAGTTGTTAAATTTTCATCAAATATAATAGTAAGAAAATTATTTAAAATAAGTTGATATATATATCAATGTGTATAATTTAACATATAATCAATAAAACAGGTAGAGCTAATAGTCATTTCCATTATATATATATTTTTTTTTATATAATATATGTTATATACTATGGCCTTGTGCGAGATCAAGTAAATTGATGGTAAATTGAGGAAAATAATAAATTATGTCGGTGTAACAGCAAATGTTGGTATTTACTAGAATTTCGAGTAGGGTAAATTAGATAAAAATTAGGTAAATTGGGTGTTAACATTGTGAAAATCTTATAAGATATTTAATAAACAAATAAATAAATTTGAAAACTTTAAACCAAAAATAATAAATAAGTGCAATAAATATATAACTAAATATTTACATAAGTGCAGTGCAAAAATTCCTAGAAAATTTCAAATTACTTTGCTTCAATTTACTCGAACTCGCATACCGCCTATATATACAATTTCTACTATAAAAAAAATGCCTAGATAATGGAGCTTATACAACATATGTTTGGGAGATCTAGAGTAATGATTTTCGCATTTTTTTTCTTGTTTTCTACAAAAGTTGAGCTACAAAAATTGAGCTGGTGTTGCTTCGCAATACCTGCCATCTGTTATATACTATATTACGTTTGTAAACGTTAGTAAAACTCAGATAAAACACAAGTAAAGTACAAACTGAGAGCGTAACACAAATAAAGTGCTAAATTACGTTCTTTACACAGATTTTCATGGAACAGCTTTTTGTGAAGTCTGGTAAAAACACTAGCGCCGCGCAAATGGACAATACAAAAATTTTAAATCAAACCAAAACAGCTGATTTACACATCAACACAAATTTTCAAATTTCGACAGTGATATCACGTTCTCTCAGATGCTCTCATATACTCAAAAATTTGCTGGTGGAATGCACTTCCAAAGTCATTGCAAGGTGCAAGAAATCCAAGAATTCTATACTAAAACGGCAAGAGTACGAGAGTTGCAATATCAAAATGAAACAGCTGTTTTTGCAGCACTCACATCCACTTGAGAAGTAATAGATGTCAAAAGATGTTTTTTTTTCTTTTTTGTTTCGTTGCAAGCATATATACTATACATGGGATAAGATATAGCAAGATTCCAAGCAATTGCAAGAAACTTTGTGCGTGAATTTTGTGGTTGTGAATTGCATTTCGTGCACCTAGCAATAAGTTTGCAAGACAGAGTGAATACACTTAATATAAATCTAAAAATCTATCGATGGATTTACTCTGGAAAAGGCATTATTTGGTATATATGGACCCGTTATTACATTGTGTAATAATTATAGTACTTTAGTACTTTTGTAAGACAGGTGACATATTTATTTCCCATTAAAATAATTTTTAGACAACAACGATGTCAATCTAAGTATTAGATGGTATTAGATGTAGAATGACCATTGCTAATATATGGTACTATGGGCTCAGTAGGCGATTCGGATGTTTAACTCTCTCTCGACAAGCAAAACTTACGCTGTATAGGTCGCCCATTCTTCCTGTGCTTCTGTATGGCGCAGAAGCAATCGAATAAACCGCAAGCTTTATCGCGACCTTGATATAATTCAGCGAATTAACATCCAGAGGCTTCGCCGGCTTGTTTATGTCATAACAATGGATGGAGATGTCACAGCAAAAAAGGTATTTGAAGTAGTAGTTAGAGGTGGACCGTGTCTCCGGTGGAGTGATCAAGTTGAGGAAACACTAACCGGACTTGATGTACAAGACTGGAGAAGGCACGTATGCAACAGAAGCGCCTGGTGAGACATGCTGCGTCAGGTCGAAACCCAATAACGGGTTGTTATGGCCGAACAAGTAAGTAACTAATATGTATTTTATATTTTATTGTAAATTTTAATTTTAACTACATTATAAGAAGATTATAGTACTCTGAAGATGATTATAGAATATAGTCGAAATAAATGAGACTAACTTAAGTAGTTTCATCGGTTCGTTTTATTAAGCTGATAAAGAGGATCTCAGATTTTTTTTTAATCGGTTGGCAAACATATTGATAGTGTCTTTTAATTACCGAGTCATTTTTCAGCGGTCACATAAACAGAAATAGTTACATCGTTTGGTCTGACGTTTCTTGCACCGGTTAGCAAATATCTTATAGTACGTAAATCTATATCTTATGGACAAATAAACAATGCCCATAAAATAAGGAATGATAATTACAGGTGAAAGCATAGTAAAGTACCAATATATTTTTATATAATGAATGTCACACGACAATTTGTAATTGTAAATTCACATCTTATGATTTCTTAAATAATGAACACTACCTTAGTTAAGAACCATCTGAGTAGCCAAAATCAAAATATGAGGCGATTATCCCTCCTTAAATGTGTTTCCTAAGCAATACATTTCAAAACCAGGATCCAATTAATATTCTCTAATTGAGATTGATTGAAGGCAAAGGTATGAATATGTGTATGTGCAGGCAATATTTTTCAGCAATTGAAACTATACTCTGAATTTTAATGTGATGACGTTTTTTTTTCTAACAATCCTAGACTTTAAGCGTAATGTTGTGTATTATTTAATTTATTTGAACAACCATCCCTCCTTTGAATAGACACCATCCCTTCTAAGTAAGTTTGACCATTCTTTCTGGCTTTGATAAACTAGGCTTGCTAACTACTAAGCCTATCTGCTTTCCTTTATGCAAAGACATTATTAGATAATAGAAATGAGGTTGCATTCGTTGAACTCGACTGTAATCTTCCATAATCATACTTAAGTGGGTTTAAGTTTCACATTGTGGTTTTCGATGTTTTTCACCTACCGCAAAAAAAAGCCACTTCCATTAAATCGAAAAAATAGTAACTTGGAAAAAAATTATATCATATCTACTAATAACTCCGAATACTATTATTTTGTTATTTAAGTTATTTAAAAAAAAACGAAACGGATATAAAAAAGAAATAAAATTTATGTATTATTATGTATTATTGAAACTACGTTATTCATTTAAAATAAATAAATGTTTACTATCGTTTTTGCTTTTTCACACCAAGGAGTCTACTTTAGGGTTAAGAAAATTTATGTGTTTTACATATTTATATTATAAAGTAGTGTATTCTTAGAAATTATTTTGCAGTGTAGTTAGCTTATCGCATACACAAACCTTATAAGAGTCGCCACTCAAAGCTGTCTGTCAACTGATTTGGCTGGATGGTTTCAGCCCTTTAGATATACACACTTATATCTCAAGTATAACATAGAAAGAAAAATTTGATTCCAAAATAAGACTTCAAATCGGCGTTTCGAATCATTTCAATTACTTTTTGAATTTATCATATATACAAAAGTAGAGTGGGAGACGACATTCTGTAAATAGATATATGCACCCAATGTTATTATATTTTCTAATTTTTTTCACATAACCTTTACCTTCATTATTTATAACAATAGTAAGTATTGAAGTATTGAATTTAAAAATATTTTTTAAATTTTATGCCCACATAAATTATACAGGGTCACAAAACAAATGATGTGACCCTCTAAATAAAGATTTTCCAAAAAAAACAAGCTATACATAGCATAGATAAGCGATAATTGAATATTTATAATTGATGCAATATTGCATAAGTATTTATATTGGCACGTTTCTTCTTAACTTATTTACTTAGGCAATAAAAATATTGAACTAGATCTGTATTTTTTCTTTTTACAAACCTAGTAACGTATGACTAACCCGGCAAAGCCATATATGTGACATCTTACAGCATTTGACTAAGTATTCATACTAACTTAGATTTAAATTAGCCTAAATGACCTGTTTTATGAACTCAGTTTATTATAAAAAAAATAATACCAAATAAAAATGGAAAAAACTATTTGTTAATGTAATCGAATATATTTAATTGATTTTATTAAACATTTAGTTTTATTAAACATTTCAAATGATTGTAAACTTACCAATTTCTTCGAAGGTGTCAATAGTTCTAAACGGATCCTTAAAGTCCTAGAGTAGAGTATAATCTAATAATCCTCAATATTGCAGTTGAAGAAATTTACTGTGACAAAAAACTACAAAACCAAACATTTTCCCATTTCTTTTTTTAATTATTTTTAATCAAAATTACTATTTTAGTCTTATAAAATAATTTTAACATCATAACTTTTTAATTTATTTAATTTAATTATATCTTAATGAATTAAACTAGTTTATTATGAACTCAGCTAATTATCACGTTGATACATCCTAATAATTAAAGTCCATTTATTAAAATTTGTTCACTTATTACATTTATTATAATTATATTTTTTTTTTCTAATTTATTAAAAATGAAATTCATATTTTTTTCTTTTTCACTAAACCATTTTTATTGAAGATATAAAATTAAACCTTGGAAAACACCACTTGCAATTAAATATTTATTAAAATCGTTACTTTCAATATGAAAGAGAATGCCCTTTTATAGTTTAACGCGAGCTGAATTTTTTTTAGTGCTGTATCGCAGCACTAGGGGTAAAAATGTACGGTAGACCAAACCGAAGTTTTTTCATTCTGAAAATATGTTGGATTAGAAAATAGAGAAATGATTATAAAAAATCACTTTAGGGTCCTGCACTTTCGGGCCCTGCACTTTTGGAATATGAAGTTTTGGAAACTATTTGAAGTCATCGCCTTATAAAACTTGTTGCGAATGGCTGTTGGTTTTTGGGTAATCTTGGCAAAAAATGAAAAATGGAATAAATAAGTGAATAATTGTATTTATTTTATTTATTAAATATAATCAATTACATCAACAAATAGTTTTTTCCATTTTTATTTGGTATTATTTTTATTTACAATAAACCGGGATTCATAAAACAGGTAATTTAAACAATTAAAATCTAAATTAATTTGAAATTAATGTGCAAATTTTAAAGTGAGGCCATCAGAATACTTATTATTTTTTATTGAAACAATTAA